ACACATCCCTTTTGATATCAAGGCTTTCCTGCTGAGAAAAGGCAAGATACAGCAGTGCAGAAAGGAACATGAGACCTCTTGCTATGTTTCTTGAGATATAAACGTATTTTCTCAAAATAACTTTCTAAAACAAGTAAGAAATTTGGCTTTATTAATTCATAGGTGCATGGTTATCGTGGATAGAGATGAAAACCGGCTAAGCCCAACTTTCTGCTATACCTCACTAGTTAACAAAAAGTAGGCAGAATACAATTGCTGTATAAAACAGGAAAACCAAGGACTAAAAATGGAACAGATGTTTAGTTGTTAAGAAAGATTTTCAAGTATGATGAAAAAAAAAAATCAAACACAAAAGGTATTTCTACAAATGTAACTAGGAGAAAACATTTCAGTCTTTTTCAGACCCTGACGAAACATGTGGTATTGTGGAAGTGCATCGGTTTCAAACTAGAAATTGTATTCCAAATAAGGTTCTTTGAAAACAGGTTAAATATTTTACCTCAGACAAGCTCCTTCAATAGCCCAAAGCAGTCTTTTCTCTACATTTACTCAAAACCCATGCAAGCTCCCTAACTCTGTGGGAGTGAACTGATTTGATAATGTTGCAGAATTTGGCTGAAATGTTTTGCACAGAATAGCCTTCACATTAAATAGCAGCCAACATGCTGTATTTTCCTACTACGCACGCGGGATGCAAAGGATAAAGTGCATATTTACTCCATGGAAGAAGCAATCAAATGATTCATCTCAGAAATGTTTTCTAATCTAACAAATTTAATCCCTTTCTGTTTGCAAATCACTTCTCATTTCTGAAAATGCATTTACTGCTTAAAACTATTCTGCAGGCAACTTGGACTACACATTCATCCATGTGTGTTCCTGGCCATTGGAGGCAATGCTTCTGCACTGTACGTGTTGCAGAGGAACAGAAATAAGGAAAATAGGGATTTTTTTTTCCCCTTTAAATGAAGTCTTGGGGTTTTTTCCCCCCATGTCTTTATAATTCTCTGTGAGGCAGCAGTCTTTCACATACGTTTTGTCTGACATAACCAACCAATTGTGTATAGATGAACATTTGCAAAGAATAAACACCGAGATCAACAAAAATACCGACCCCAAGCAAGCCCATGGGATGTGAGCAGTGCGCATGGACTCAGACTGCAACACCACAGCCGCCCCTGCACAACCTCTGCATTTCTCCCTACAACTGTATTTCTCACATACTTGATCTCTGGATGCACTTCTTAATTTTAACTACGTATTTTCACATTATTATTTAAGCTGCAGATAATAATCATAGAATCATAGAATCTTAAGGTTGGAAAAGACCTCTAAGATCATCAAGTCCAACCGTTGACCCAACACCACCATGTCCTGAAGTGCCATGTCTACACGTTTTTTGAACACCTCCAGGGATGGTGACTCCACCACCTCTCTGGGCAGCCTGCTCCAATGCCTGATAAGTGATAACTCTGTTATTTTCGTTGCACGCACGTGAACATATCTGGAAACACATCGGCTCTTTGGATTGAAACCCCATGATGGTTCAGCTCCTACAAGAAGACAAATTGCCTCACTGCACCTGCCACTCTCTCTGTCCGTGTCCCTCTCCACACCGCTGCGCCAGCCGGGATCGGGGTACGTGTGGTGACAACCCAGGCCTCGCATGAGCGAGGATTGGGAGGAATGGCAGCTACGAAGAGACGAGACCTCGCAAAGGAAACGGATGAGAACTACCGGGAACTGAGCTGAGCGGGTCTGTGTGCCCCGTGCACGTGCTGGGGTGCAGCTCAGCCGGGCGGTGCAACGTCCAAGCTCTGCTCCTGGGGCGCACAGGACAATGCTAACCAAAGTCCTCCGTGAGATCCTCCATGTCCTGAGGACTGCAGCACTCTAGTTGAGCAAAATAGGTTACAAATCCTAAACCAGGAGTCGCCAATCCCAGTTTTACTAAAAACTTAAAATTTGGGTTTGCACTCTGGAACAATTTGCCCCTTAACTCTTCCAACCATTTCAGGGAACTCAAACAGAAGTTTTCAGCAAACCTGAGAAGTGAGGTTGAGCAGAGTTTTGATTTCACATGAATCTATGAAGAGCTGGCAGCCTTCCGCTGCAGCTCCCTCAGGATGAGTCTGAGCCTTCAAGCTAAGAGCGCAACGCTTCTTCAGCTTCTCCTGGTTTCAAATGCCATAAATAAATTGAATAATGACGCCAGATCAGTGCACAGTTCCAGATCAGCACACACAAATCCCGGTGGGATCACGCCACTGAACGAGCACCACGGCTGCGGGAGCCGTGGTTGGCCACCACCGATCGCTGGCGGACAAGTCAAGCCAAAGCATGCTGATGTTTAATAAAGATCAACAGTAAAACTTTTCTTACAGTAACGTATGGGAAATAATTTACTGAAAAGATGACAACCAGTATAAACTGCATATATTAGTGGCCTTCCCTCTCTTCCCCCTTTCCTCTCTTTCCTTAAATTTTATTTATTTTTAAACTTCATGCACATCACGGCAGCATTTTCTACAATGTAATTTTTAAAATCTATGCACAGGACCAATTATTTTTAGAAGTTAATAATAACACTGTAGCAGAATTAAAGAAACCATAACAATCATTAAATAAAAGTGACTTTTGCTCTTTTTACCTTTACATTGCTTGGAAAAGTATTGATTAAACTATAGCTGAACTCAGAAGATAATTTTTCTATTTTTAAACTTGGAAGATTGGAAAAAAGAACAATTTATTTTTTAACTGATGATTGTAATCAGAAATTCTCTACTCAACAAGCATAAAAAATAGATTTTAATGTTAACTGTCATATACGGCTGAAGGTATTTTATTATTTTTCTGATCATTATTAATGGGGATGATCTTCTGTAATTTGTGAGTACAGAAAAATATAGTCTCACACGGCTTCCTTAAAGTTTTTAATCCTCTCTCTTTGGTACCTCCCACCTTCCTAGCTCTCCAGTCCATTATTTCCCCATAATTAAAACATAGACCTATTAATCTTCCTGAAAAACAGTTCTTCTCAGTTGCTTAATTAAAACCACACACGGTCTCTTTTCACCAGAGCCTTCGTGGCGCAGGCAGGGTCGAGCTCCCGCCCCGCTGCCCCTGAAACGAGCTGCCCGGGGCTGCGCAGACAGCTCTCCCATCTTCCCTGTATCGCAGGGATGCTCCGCGCCTGCCTGGCTCCATACATCCTTCCACACGCTCTCCGGGGTTACACCTGGATAGTGCCTGGGCTGGGGCGGTCCTTCAAATGAAAAAAGTCTTCATTCCCGTCGGACCGAGAGCTGCCCTTATCCTCACCTCTGTGCAACTACTTACTCGACCCCGATTGCAAAGCGAAAAGGGTAAGTTAGTTTGAAACTGTCCTAGACACCTGTAGGCAAATTCAAGCCATGCAACCCTGTACGTGCACCCATCCAGGCCACGCGTCTCCACTTAGTGCTCCCACCTCACCCGTGGCCGCTCGGGTCCCCCCCAGGGATCCGTGGGAGCGGAGCACCAGGAGCCGGCTGGGAAATGCCGCCCGGGGCTACGGCACTGCCCAGCTGCAGAGTCATTCCCAACACACCTCTGACAACACCGAGGGACACGCTGCCAGACGCTTCCTCCGCAGAACACATCCCCCAAACGGTGAGACACGTCTTCCAGGTCAGGAGATGACTCACTTCTGTGTAGGCTGTGTCTCTAAAAACAGTCATCCTCCTGCAGTTTAGGCTAAAAGTTCCACCTCATTTACAGAAAGTCCTGGAATTCTTTATTTTCCCTGAAAACCTAGAATAATTTGACTTGAAAATTGTTACGGTTTTATGTAACTGGTGCTTTGGGTGCTGGAGGAGCCGCTGTAACGCCCACGAGGGATGACAGCATCCCCTTCCCATCACCCTGCAGTGGGTGAGTGCTCACCAAAGCAGATGTGAAGCACTTAACAGAGTCGTTATTGCTTACTACAGCATCTTTTTTTCCAGTGAAATTGGTTTTGGCATTGAGTTATAGCCACTTTCTTCAAAACATGGGAAACCCTTGCAAAAAACAGTGTTGCTAAAATTTTTCTGCTTTAAAGAAGATTGGCTTTGAGCTCAGCAGCAAGGGGAGAGAGAAACACGAGGGTCAGGGTTCAGCCTAGAAAAACACCCAGGAGCTCAGGACATAAAGTGCCACATCCAAGCTCCAGAGCCCGAAACTCACGCCTGCTAGGAACTTTTACAAAGCCCTTTTACTGACGATCCGATCTGGGTCTTCTCTGGGTTCTCTGTGCATTCTTACAAATAACATCTTAAGAGTTTGTTACTCTAAGGAAACTTCTCTGAACAATAAAAATAACTCAGGCGCGATTAGAGGTGATCCTTTCACTTTTGTCCTCGAAATCAGTTTCCTCATGTCTACTACAGCTCAAAGCATGGGATGCTGCATAAAAACCTGTGCAGCTGCTTATTATCATTTATTTATTTACCGAACACTCTCAGACTGATGCACCGATGGTTGGTGACCGGGCTGGCATCCACCAACACCCGGCAACTCCGTGCCTGACACTCGAGATCCCCCCCAGAAGCACCAGGTTTCCTCTTTACGTATGAAACGTGCAGAGGATAACGTATCCTGCAGAGGGAGACTCGTGTGTCCTGTATGGGACAGAAATCCGCAAAGACGGTTTCTGGAAAGTCTGGTGAACGGGAGTGAGGTAAAACAGGGGACAGAAGCAGTTGCTTTAAACCAGAGTTTAAAATCAGAACCCCAAAACTTTGTCTCATGGCAGCCAAACCAGATCTAAAATAAACAACCGGCTTTGCTTAGCCTGACATCTCCGCTGCACGTCGAAGTCCCCAGCCATCCCTCCGACAAAGCCTTCAGCTTGAGCGACGCCAGCGGCGCTCGCTGAGAGCCCTGGGGTTTCCTTACAGGAGCTGCACCCCTCTGAGCGGCTCTCCCCGGGGACTGGACCGCTCCCGCTCCCCCAATCACCGAACCCACTGCGCATCCTTGTGCGCTGCATTTCTGAACGGCACCGGGCGAGCTGGGATTAAAGGATCCACTATAGATTTCAGGTCCTTTCTCTCCACGCAGCCACCAGTTGACAGCACGCATTCGTGACCTTTGCGGCACCTAACGTAGGTCTGCAAACGCTGCAAACTCTGCTTTGATCCCCTGCGAGCCCCCGCCGGCAACGTCCTGCCTCCTGGCCCCCCACACCACCGCGTCACCGCTGCTCCCAGCAGCCCCTCGCCCGCCCGGCTGCCGAACCCCTTCTCCTTCCTCCCACCCTGGTGCCAACTGCCCTTCTCCGCAACCAGCGATCCCAGCGTCTCTGCTGCTCTGTGTCTATCCGTGCCCGCGGCGGAAGGAGCTCTGACTGTACCCTGAGGTGTTACCGTGCACCAATGAGCCTTCTGCCTCAGACTTGTGCTCTGCATGCGTTCTGCTTTCTAAGCACCGTAAACTGGAGTTGGTACCGAATCCTTTTTTGGGGCAAGTTTTCTCTTCGGGTTCAAAAGATGCAGTGTGTCTGCCCCGCAGAGGATGGGGAGTCTCCAGAGCCGGTCTCCATCAGGAAGGAGATGCCGCGACACCGACAGCGGGGGAGCTAACCGTGCCGCAGCATCTCCTCCCCTTCCCAGCTGAACAGACCAGACACGCCTGAGAGATTTTACCCAGTGTTTGCAGTCAAATAATTCATTTAGCACCATATCAATACACTTACTCATAATCACTTCCTTTAAATAAAGACGTCCTTCCGAACCTACTACCCTCTATTTTCTGCGATTCTCAGCAGTCCATTACGTTGCTTTCTAAAACAGCGGCTCAGAATTGGAGATCTGCAAACTTAGGAAGAAACCAGGATAATTCTTTAAATATTTGCTGACTTGTGGACTTTTCCAAAAGGAGCAGATAACGGTGTGAGCTCTTTACCTGGCAAACCGCCTGAAATAAATGGGGATACGTGCTACCTGCATTTTCATGAGTAATTAGCATTATTAACCCCCCTGCTCTGCTCCTAAGCCACTTCCACCGCTCCAGAGAATCAACGTACAGTTTATTAGCCCAGAGAACCCGCCAGATTTTCTGCTCTATCGCTGGGTGTGACAAAGTCACCAGGTACCTGCCAGCCTGGGCATGAATCGCAAGACAAGGTGGCGAGAGAAAGCAGGGCGAAAACTCTGGGAGAGAAAGCAAAATCAAGCTTTTTCGTTACACACCTCCAGCTTCTGGATTTGATAAACTCTGCTGCCTTGAGATGCTTTAAGATACTCTAGGAAATCTGTCTGCAGATGAAACGTGGATTAATCCCTAAATCCGAAACATTTTTAACTGGAAAATCAGTAGAATATTAGTAATTAGCAGCAAAAGTGTTCACTCTTCTACTTCTACAAGATTTTTAATGCAATTTGCTCTACAGCTGATGCTATTTGAATTCACATCCGCATGGGTTTCAGGCTCAGCCCCTGCCAATCCACCCAAGCCAGGGCAGAGACCAGATTCACAGGGTGTTCTGGCCGCCAACGTTCACCATAACCGCCAGCCATCACCATAACGCGCGTTTCACTCCTGCCACAAAGAAGTGGGATTTTCCATGGCAAGGACAGAGAAACTGTTAGTATCACGACTGCAATAAATTCATTTGTTGGTTTTATTTATGTGAAAATATTCCCACC